TGCCCTCGGGTGGGCCTCCCGCCTCCTGTCGCGCGGCCTCGCTCCTCCCTCCTCGTGCACCTGTCTCCTGCAAGCTCCTCCTGCTGTCCTTGCGACTCCTCGTCCTCGGACTCGCTCCACCTCCGACAGCGTCCTCGGTCCTCCATCTCATCCTCGTTATCCTCCTGCTACTGCTCCGCCTCCTCGTGCACTTGCTCCTTCTGTCCCTACTCCTCCTGATCCGCTCCTCCCTCCCCTCTTTCTCTCGCAGCGGCTTCTGCCGTCCCAAGTCCACCCCCGCGCCCGCGCGGAGCCGCGCGAAAGGCGCCCGGCCGACGCGTGAGTGGGGCCCCCTGGACGCCACCAGGGGACCAATCTGGAGAGGGTCGCCGAGCGCGTTCCACTACTCGCAAAGTGCCAACTCGCAAGCGTCCCCAAAACACACATGTCTGCTTTGATGTATGTTATCGTCGATAACCTGTGACGGATCCACGCCATGTGCGAGTAGCTACTTTGCGGGTCGTGGAACGCGCTCGTCTAGAGGGGGAGGAGGGGGGAGGCCATCTTCCAATCTCAACTCCTGAGGATCGAAACAAGGAAGAGAGGGAGGTGGGAAGCGACCGTGCCGCTCAAGGGGTGCTGTGGTTCAGGCGGGGGACGTCGCACCTTCCGCGTAGCGATGTGCACGGCGCACCTTGCGCGTAGCGACGTGCGCGCCGCACCTGTCCGTAGCGCCGAAGGCGTCGTACATTCCAGGCATTCGGCATTATAGTGTGATAGTAACGATGTACCGACGCGTATAGGTAATTTAGGTAGTTCCCAGTAGTCGTTCTCACCCAGGCGTCTGCGATTCGACCGTATATCACATCGAAGGCACGTTCGTCGTCACACAGCGTTTGGAAGAAACTCGCTACGCCTGGCTGCCCTTCCGCGGCTGCCGTGCCGTATAACTTCTGGAACACATCATCGTTTTGGAGCAAAATGCGGTATTGAACAGATTCGGCCGCCCTCTGGAAGATAGCGCCAAGCTGGCGTTTCGTATGCCCACCACTTGCTTCGAGGTTCTCCGGCTTGGCGCTCATGGCTCTGGTGCCGGACCGAACAGCCCAGCGCTCGCTACCAGCATCGTAGGAGCCAAGTACCCATTGATCTCTCTCCACGCCTTCAAGCCGATCAGTCTCGCAGGAGGCCCTTCGGCGAGTGGCACATCAAGCGCTGCTGGTGGCTCTTGTAGCTCAGCAGGTGGCCCTGGTACCTCTCCTGGTGCCTCTTGCGGCTCAGCTGGAGGTCCTAGTAGTCGTGCTTGTGGCCATCGTATCGAGCGACGAGAACTATGCACATGCACCGATCCTGGCAAGGCCCATCCTTGACCCAGGATCGGTGCATATGCCTTCCTGGCCAAGGTAGGAGGGCGTATGCACCGATCCTGGGCTCAGGATGGGCCCTGGCCAGAATCGGTGTATGTGCATAGTTCTTTTTCCTCTAATCGTAGCTCTGCTTGTGGTCCTCGTAGTTCTGCTGGTGGCCCTCGTAGGTCGGTTGGAAGCTCTGGCAGTTCAGCAGGTTAGCCCAGGAAGCTCTGCCATTGGCTCCTGTAGCTCAGGTTGTGATCATCGTAGCCCTTCTTGGGGTCCTCGTAGTTCAGCCTTTGGCACTCGTAGCTGCTGGTTGCCCTTGTAGCTCTGCTGCTGTTTTTTCTTTTAGCAGATGGCCCTGGTACCTTCCCTGGTGTCTCTCGTGGCTCAGCTGGAGGCCCTCGTAGTTCAGCTGGTGGTTTTTGTAGAACAGTTGGAACCTTCGGTAGCTCAGCAGGTGGCCTGGGTAGCTCCGCCAGTGGCTCCCGTAGCCCAGATTGTGGCTCTCGTAGCCCTGCTCGCGGTCCTCGTAGCTCAGCCTGTGGCCCTCGTAGGCCTTTGTAGCTCTGCTGATGGTTCTCGTTGCTCAGCAAGTGGCCCTGGCACCTCTCCTGGTGCCTCTCGTGGCTCTGGTGGAGGTCCTTGTAGTTTCGCTGGTGGTCCCCGAAGGTCGTCTGGTGGCCCTGGTAGCTCCGCTGGTGGCTGTAATAGCTCAGGCGGCACGCTTTCTTCGTAGTTCCCGAGGTCCGAGTCGGAGTCGTTGGCTGCCAAGTCGTAGTGTTCCACGTCCTTGCGGCCAGTATAGTCCTAGGGTCCACGTCCTTCCCGCCACCAGCAGGCGGCCCTCGTATCTCCGTGCCGTCCTATTCCTTCAGGCCGTGCTCCTCGTAGTCCAACCCAGCCAGGCTTGGATTACGCGCCGCGGAGTCCTTGCATTTGACATGTCGTCACGCAATTCCATGTCCGCCGGCTGCTCCACTGCGAGCGTAGTCGCCGTGGCCCAGAGTTCTGGTTTTTCGCCCCTTCCGGAGCCCTAACGATCGCCGATGGGGCGCTCCACGCAGCCGAACTGCCCCTCGGGCGAGAGCAGCGGGAGCGGCTGTACAGCGATAGAGTCACCGACATTCCCACGCTGGGCCTCGTCGGCTTTCTTGGTCTCCTCCTCGCCTGCCCTCTTCTTGGCCTCTTCCTCCTCTGGCTCCTTCGCCTTACCATGGTCCAAATCGGAGTCGTCGGCTGCCAGGTCGTAGTGCTCCGCGCTCTGGTTGTCTGGTGGTGGTCCTCGAGGCTCAGCTTGTAGCTCTCGCAGCTCTGCTGGTGGCCCGTGTGGCCCTGCCGGTGGCCCTCGTAGCTCGGTCGAGTCCAGCCGTGGCGACGATGGGGGGGAACCTCGGCGACGCAGCCCGCATGGGCGAGGTGCGGGGTGCCGCCGCGTGGGGGGGTACCCGTCCTTCTGTTCTGTGTAGGGCTCATGCCCGGGTCTACCTCGGGTTGCGGCGCCCGTGGGGGCAGGGGGGGGCGCAGGTCCCCGTACATCAAGGCGTGGTCCTCCATCGCAGCTCGGCTGGTGGGTACCGCAGCTCTGCCTGTGGCCCTGCTGGTAGCTCCCGAGGGTCTGCCTGTGGCCCTCGTAGCTCAGGCAGCGGCCCTCGCAGCCAAGCGGGTGGCATTCGTAGCTCAGCTGGTGGCTCTCGTTGCCCTGCTTGTTCCTCTCGCAGGCGGTCGTCGACCACGTACTGTGGGTCTCACTGGTCGTGCAAGTAGTGCTGGTGGTAGACGCCGATGCCGTACAGGTTGTCGTACTGGGTCGTACTGGTGGTCGCGCTCCGAGACCTCGACGACGATGTATTTGTACTCCCCCGTGTCGCATGTGGTGTCGTACTTGGTGCATATGGTGTTGTACTAGCTGTTGTGTTTGTCGTCGCACTTCTGGAGAGCAACGGTGGTAACGATCATGATATATTTGGGAGTTGGCTGGCGTCAATGTCTGACGTGGTATCCCGTGTGTGTTCAGAGCCGATTCCGCTCTGGGTCTCGACGTGATTGCCGGCGTCGCCACGTACGATGGGTTGTTCTCGAAGCAGTTGTAGTCCGCGAAGTATTTCACGATGGCATGGCGCCAGCCGTGCCGCGGCGCGGCCAGCGGCCAGCGGGCCAATGCCGTGCCCCTCTCGCGTGCGGGGGATGAAGATCCCGCAAACGGCTTTCCCCCCTCCTCCTCCTCCTCCTCCGCTCCTCCTCCTCCTCCTCCTCCTCCTCCTCCTCCTCCTCCTCCTCCTCCTCCTCCCCTCCTCCGCCCTCCTGCTCCTGCTGCTCCTCCTCCTTCTCCTCCTCCTCATCCTCCTCTTCCTCCTCTTCCCCCTCATCGTCCTCCCAATGTTGCCTTGCTTCGTTTTCCGTGTTCCCTTCTCGGGGGGCCCGCCTCCGCTTCATTGTCTTTCACATCACATCGCATCGTTCCCTCCGTTATCCTAGGTTGTCAACTGGATCAGACAGCAAGTTGCTCTCGCACCCTGCTATGTGATTCTCTTCTCAGCTCCCAGGTTTCCCTCCTCTCACCTCCCCCACAGACATCCGACGCTTCAGTCATTCGATTCGCCAGCCTGTAGAGCTCGCGACCCCTTCTCTGGGACCTTTTCCTCGCTCGGTTTGGAGGCTGGACCATTCTGTTCCTCATCCATTCCCTTCCTCTCCCGGTCCTCTCTCACCACCCACCAAGCCACCCCAACCCAACCGGAAGGCTAACATTTGCCTTCCAGTCCCAGTGGGGGGGGGGGCGTCGAGGAACATTTGAAAAAACACATGTGGAACCCTTTCCCCCTTTCCCCCCCCGTCCCGAAAGTTGGGTCTTCGGGTTAGGTTGGGGGGGGTACCGGCCGCGACCCTGCCGCCGGCGTTCAACGTTGAACGCCGTCGGCAACCCAGAATCGAACGATGTTGAACGATCGGACGTTTCGGAAGCTGCCGATCGCTCAAGGCCGCACGATCCCTGCGGTGTCCGGAACCAACGCCAAAGTCGGCACGACACAAGCCTGCCTTAGGTAGTCACCCTCCTCCCGTCCCCCTGCCCATCTCGACGCACTCCATTCAGGAGGGAAAGAAACACAGACACAATCCATCGTCGACCCCCAGGAAAATATACAAAAATATGGGAAGTGGGGGGGCAGATAAAAACCCAGAAAATTTGGGAAAATATTGGGAATCTGTTTATTTGTGTGTATTTATTTGTGTGTCCTAGGGCCCCTTCATCCATCCCGTCGCCACCTTCCAGTCTCGACCCTCCCTCCTCCACCCCACCGTGGCTCGGTTCGATTCCTCCGCGTCGATTCGATTCGATTTCGATGGCCACCGACTCCGATCCGATTCGACCTGGGATCCCGATTCGGATCCCGACTTCTGCTCGGAGGCGCAGTAGCCTGCCGATCTCCTCCGATTCGACGTCTCCCGACTCGGCTGCCGATTTTCGTCGATCCGATTCACTTCGGTCGCCGATCCGACTTATCGATTCGATTCTGGGCTTTCCTCCACCCCACCGCTCCCTTCCGCCCCCTGCTCCCTCCCTGCCCACTCCTGCGCGTCGCTGAATTTTCCGACTGGGGCGCCCCAGCAATTCGGCTCGATTGTTCGGGCATCCGCGCGCAAGCTTCCCGCGTAAGGCCACGCACTAGTGGAAACCCGTGCCAAGAGACCCTGCCTGCCGCCAGGGTGCCCTGGGTTTCGTTGTTTTAGATGTGATTTTGCTATGGAGAGCGTGGCGTTCCCACACCAACATCCAATGGACGTCCTGGGGTCTCAGGGTCGGGCTTCTTGTGGAAGGTCTCTTGTGGTCGAGCTCCTGCTGCAAGACCCGTTTCCTTTCGTCGCTCGCTTGCCCCCACCTCCTCAAAACAAATCGGCCGACGCTCCGCCACAAAAAGACACACACACACACCCTCCAATGAATTGCTCCTGGGCCTCAGGATCGGGTGGCGGTGTATGAATCGCCACCGAAAGCAAGGGCTCCCTCGAGGGCGCGAAGTTATTCGCGCTTCGCGCTTCGCGGTCCTCGTTCCTTCTCCCCCTCCTCCTCGTCCTCCTATTCTCCCTTTGGGAGGGCGGCGCGAGAGCGCGAAGTTATTCGCGCTTCGCGCTTCGCGCAGCGCGAAGCGCGAAGTTGGGAGCCCTAGCGAAAGCCAGCGGTGTTGTGCACCGCCGCCCTCCCTGGCGGTACATGCCAAGTTCCTCGGAGGCTGTCCGTGCACCTGCTCTGGTGGCGTAGCCGCACCCCTCCGCGGGGCGCGCGTCCTCGAGCGAGGATCGAGGCTCCCGGGGCGCGACCTGCCGTGGCGACGACGGCGCTGCCCGGGGCCCAGGGGGACCCCCCCCCCGAGACGCGCAGGGGCCCCCGGCCCTCGGTCCTGCCTCCCCGCGGTGCCGCGCGGCGCGGCGCCCCGGCGACTTGCCCGGGCCTCCGATGCGGTGAATATATATATATATATATATATATATATATATATATATATATATATATATATATCAAGGACGGGTAACCTTTCCAAGGGCACCCTTGCGTCCTTTGAGTTGTTCGGCTGTGCGCCGCTAGAACAACATTCACCCGGGGCGTCCAAGGACCGCCCAGGGTCTTGCGTCCTTACAGCGCGTCCTTACTACAGATTTTGAGTGTAGCTCCCGGCGGGCCCCGCGGGCGCGGGACGAGGAGGAGGGAAGGCTTTGTCCTCCCGAGCCATTTGGGCGTGTGGAGTGCCTCAGGCGTCGCGCCCGCCCGACACGAAGTCACTCCAGCGAGGGGCAGGGCGCGCGCGTCAGAACGCCACCGGGCAGCAGGCCCCGACCTGGGCCACAGCCGTCCTGGCACAGGCGACGTCGGGCCCGCAGAGGCCCAGCTCGCTTGCCCGTCCACTTTTCCCGAGTGCGTCAGCTCTTGCAGGACCACCACACCTTTGACAAGACAGCCATGGGGAAGCACAGGACCTGCAATCGTCAAAACAGGAACAGCGCATGGGAGCGGCAGCGCGGTAACAAGTGGGGGGGCTCGCCCCAGATATGACAACAGCCATCCAAGGCGCAAGGGTGGCAAAGTGAACGAGACCATCGGGAGTATGATCATAGCCATGCCTGAGCAGGCGTGCGACCATGCCGTGTGAATCAAGCCGCGTGAGGACCCTGACGAGCTCGCGAAGTATCGCAAGGAGACACATGTCAATATCCAGCGGCTCGGCAACGTGTACCTCGCCAGCAAGCAGGCGGACAGAGCCGACCCTGAGATGGCTAGCGAGTTCGAGGTCGTCAAGTTCATGATGTCCGCCAGCAAAGGCATTGATCAAGTGAATGACAAGCGCGACAATATGTTCATGGCTAGCGAGGGGTTCGAAAAACGTGCATCGGAGGATCGACGACTGCATGAACGAGGAGCGGGGGCTGAAACGCAGCATCGAAACGCATGAGGACTCCATCGAGCCACCCCATGCAAAGACTGACGAGAACTGGATTATGGAGATGGACTCGGGGCATGTCCGCCAGGACCGACAGCCAGAGAGCTAGCCTCCGCACCAGGATCACCGTCAGCAGCAGCAACAGCAGCGCCACGAATAGCGACAGCCTCCGCAGCAGGAGCCAGAACTCCACGCCGCCAGAGACGCCGAGCTGCTCGCGCACATTGGGAAGATTGCGCAGTCCATCGATACAGTTTCTGACAGCAAAGAAGCCGCACACGAGAAGCTCAACCATATTATGACGGCAAACAACTTCCACGACTACCATCTCAAGCACATCATTGACCAGCAGATGGCTGGGTTTCCCCAGCCTGGCCCGCCGCCTATGATGCAGGCAGCGGGGTCGGAGGCGCAGATGCAGCATCACGCGGGCGGTTCCATCGGAGCACATGCAGACAGCGGCAGCGGTAGCCGCGCCGCCGCCCCCACAGGGCCATTGGGCCTGGCCACCGCAGCCCCCGCCCCCGCCGGGAGCCGTCGGCGCGACGCCCCCACCGCGGCCTCCAATTGCGGAACCGTCTCAGGTGGAAGGCGCAGCGGCGCCGCTGGCGCAATCACAGTTGGCAGCAGCGGGCCAATGCAAACCCTTCCAGCCATGGGAGGGCACGGATCGCCATCGGCACTCGCTCGACCGAGCGGCGCCACCGACGCCAGCAGACAGTCCGCCGCTGGGCCCTCCGCCGACTTTCGGAGCTGCGCCGGCCTCGCCGGGCCCCACCGAGGAGGGGCCCGAGGAGAAGCAAGGCGGAGATGGAGGATGCAAGATTGCAGCCGAGATCACCGACCTCGCTAGCGCCGACGCTCGGCATCACACAGGAGGAACACATCCGAGGGCCACAAAAAATCCGAGCACATCCAGGGGGGTGCGATCGAGGCATCGCATGCCAATTCGACCCCCAACGCGCAGCCATCGCCCTAATCGCGGATGCGCCCCGCAGGCTGGGCAGCGGCAGCAGCTGTCAGCGCGCCGGCGCCGATGGCCGCGGCAGACGGCGGGGGGGCGGGCGCAGCGGAGGCTGCGAAGAAGGCAACGGAGGAGGCGCCCAATCAGCCAGCCGTCAAGGCGGAGAAGCCCGGGCGCGCGAAAAATGAGGCAGTTCCCAGCTGCCGCAGAGGCTGCCGAGGCACTAGCCTCGAGGAGATGCACGACCGATCCGAGGTATATCAAGAATCTCGTTCGGTGGAGCCGCAGCGCGAGAGTTCAGGCCCAGCGACCTGCCGTGCGCGCGAGCGGCGATCCACCAGGTCAGACGCGGGCCCTTGCCGCCAGCTGGTGGCATCATTTCATCTCCGCAACTCTCTCGCCCACGTCGACAACGTGATGCTCGGGGCTGGCTTCGTTATAACGATGATGGGCATAATGCCGCGCGCATTGACTCTTTTCTGATTTGAAGGACTCATGAGGCAGGTTGTTCGCGCATGCGTCGGGAAATGCCTCGCGATAGACAGCCCCGCGAAGCTCTCGCAACAGCCGGAGACGCACCGCCTCAACCCGGCGCGCCTCACCCATCCCATGCTTCAACCTTGCCCCTTGCACCTTCGACGGCCAGAAGGTTCAGACTGAGGGGCGCAACTACGCCCGATGAACATTTGCTCAGCTCAGCGCTCAGGCATCCGCCATTTCAAGCACGGTAGCATCTGACCTTGGGAAATGCGATTCCGACGCTGCGCCTGCCCGTGGGCGACTCGCTCATAAGCGGCCAGGAGGCCAGGGGGCCGGCGCCCCCAGGCCCCCCCTGCTTCCCGCGGGGCCCCTGTCCGAAGCCCGAGTGGAGAGGGGGGCCCTCGCCGCCCGGGGCGAGGCCAGCCCCCGAGGGGCCGCGCGCCATCGCTGCGCGCCTCCGCAATTTAGTGTCTCCGCCGTCAGGCGTTTCCCCTCAGGGCCAGAGTCGCGGGATCAAACAGGTTGATGATCTACGAGATCTACTGGCTCATCATCGTGACTGGTATACCCCCAGAAGGGGGGCATTTGGCCTCAAACTTCGCGCGATGGCGAAATCCGCGCCGGACGCAGCCGAGCCTGTCACTGGTGGGCCACTCAAGGCGCACAGGTACTGCGATGCCTCTTTCAAGGCAAATGCTGATAGAAGCGCCTCGGGCCCCGTCGCCGCGGCAGTCATCGTGGGCGGTGATGTGTGCCACCTAGGCTTTGAGAACACGCGCGCAGCCGCGTCGACGTCAATCGCCGATGGCAGCGATGAGGTCATCAGCGCAGCTATTGAGCTAATGGGCATATTCATGTCTTGTCTGCGAGCTCTCGGGCACAGCGGGCCCCCTCAGGAAGCCGTTCTTATTTCATGTAACATGCCGTTTTTTGTGATTTATTGCGACGGCGGGTCTGCTGTCGGGGTCTCGCAATGCCGCGCGCTGGCCGTGACTTACATGGGCTTGTCGTCGGCGCGGGCTCGTCATCGGCGCGGGCTCGTCGTCAGCGCGGGCCTGGCTCGTGCCATATCAAGGGGCGCGCGCGCAATCCCTGGCGCGAGCTCGCGGACTCGATCGCGCGCGATGACGACGCTTTGCCGGCGTCTCCCCCGCCGGCCTCTGCGAGGCCCACCGTTTCAACGCGCGCGTGGACTGGGCGCGGCTGAGACAGGCGTCGCAGGCCATGCGCGAGGCTTGCCCGCCAGGTCAGTCAGGCAACCGGGTGGTCGGGACCCCCCCCCATTGCGGGCCCAAGCCGTTCGGGGCGCTCCCCAGGCGAATCGTCGAGTCGAGGTCCGCGGCCCTGAACCCGCGGGCGGTCGCGTTCCTGCTGGGGCCGCCAGCGGCTTCGGGGAGGCTGGCGAGCTTCGCCGGGACATTTTCCTAACAACAGTTCCGAGGGGCAGAGTTTTGAAAGGCCGGCGCGCAGGAGGCCAGAAATCCAGGTGAGCCCAGGACTGCGCCAGGGCATTTCGCGATGTCGTCAGGGGCCGGGGACGATGGAATCCTCGGGGTCGAGCTGCGGGTCTCCTTGGAGAAGGCGCGCGGGGCCAGAGGGGATCTAGATGCGCGCGTCTTGCCCAGGCACCTTCGGCCCGTTTACAAGTCGCCGCGCCACCTGCGCGCAAAATGCTCGGCCCCAGAGCTCGCGCGCGCGATTGCCACGGCGCGCGCCCTGCGCAGCGGCGACGAGCGCGCGGGCGCGCGGCGCGAAGCTTGGCGGGGGGGCGCGCCGACATCCGCGCGCAAGTGCCTTCTCAGCAGTTGGAAGTCGCAGATTCCGACGCCCATGATACCTTTCTGGGGCGCTCTTCCACGGCTATCTCTAGGCCGCCAGTGCACGTGCCGCCGATGCCCAGCGCCCGTCGGAGACCGGCGGCGCCGCGCGGGCATCGCCGAAAGGCCTGAAGCCACATCGTATCGACAACGTCGGTCTCCCGGAGGATCTGATGCAGACTGCGACAGCTAATGCCGCCATCGTTGACCTGGGTGCTGATCTCGGGTGCCAGGGCCACGGGCCAGTAGCTATCGCGCTGGCCTCCCCGAGCAAAGCCGAGAGACACGTCTCCAAGCTAGGGCGTGATAAAAGCGCCCCCGAGAATCCCAACAAGTCCCGAATCTTCAATGTTCCTCAAGACACCCATCGCCCTGGCCTGCTCCGGTGCAAACGAGCACCTGGATACGATCCTAAAGGCATTTCTAGAGGCTGCCGCCACTGCCATCCCGACAGGGAGCAGGAGCCCATGGGGCCCTGCGCGCCGCGGGAGGCCTTCGGAGCAGCAGTTCGACGTCGCGGGCAAGCCAGCGAGGCGATGCCAGCCGGGCATCATCGAGACGTCTCCAGGAAACAGGCCGCGGCCACGGCCGTCCTAACAGCCTCGAAACCCAATGATTTGCAGGACCTCGAGTGGGTCTTCTGGGTCGACGAGCTCCTGGGAATGAGGGCCAAAATTCCTCAGGTTCTGCGCCCGCCCAGGCGCTCGCCTAGGGCCAATTATTTGCAGGGCCGCACCGAGCCCGTTATCTGTAGGTTTCCTAAGGCTTCGAAGATTGAGCTCCCGGAGGCCTTCGCCCAAGAGCTTGTTCGCTTGACGGACGTCCGTGGTCGTGGATAACAGCGATCGGCCACGTGGCAGCCGCAGAATATCGGAGGGCACCGCGAAACAACAAAAACAGCACCCAAGGGCTTCTAATATCGCGTGCGAAGAGCGCGCTGGAGCTCTCACTGAGTACTTCGCTCCGCTCGAGAAGGGCGACGCGACTGACTGGAACGGCCTATGCAGTTGATATAACGAGCCAGATTGGCCTCAGCAACTTGCGTAACAGCGCGGTTATGAATTGGTCAAAAGCAAGAGAGACCACGCACGCATGATTCGAAGCGCCGATGCCAAAAAATTTGGCCCAGATATTGTCTTCGTGGACTTAGTCAAAATTGCAGCAGATGCGGCAGCCGATGCACTCCTGCCGCCGCGCGCAGAGATCATCGCCATCTCGCGTGAGCCACTGGGATTCAAGGGGGCTTCGCACGCCGATCTCTGCAAGTCTGGACAGAGCGCGCCGATAACAAACCACCACGGCAGAACGCTGGGAGCGCATGTGGCAAAACAAATACATTAGAACTGTCTTACTCCACACCTTGTCGAACGTACCAAGCATCTTATGAACGGTTTTCAAATGGGAGGGCTCACCAAACGTGACATGTGGCTGCCCTTATCGCAGCCTTTGCTGCGCACGTTGCCAGGGCCCGGTGCCGCTCCTCCTGTTCGCTGATCTGCGGTCTGGCTTTATTCAATAGGGACGGCGTGTCTCTCGCAGTTTGCGGGGCATGATGAGGAGCTGACCGATGTGCTCGATGATATGAAGGCACCAGCCGCGCTCATCCCCATCTGTGATGAGATCGTGGGAATGCTTGGTTTTTTGGACCAGATCGATCACGAGCATTTTCTAGCCGCTACGGCCCACACAATCACGAACGCATGGTCCCAGGTCCACGGGGCAAATCATGCGGTGCAGTTTTTCGGAGGCACTATGCCTGGACTGCCACTGGTTGGTTTCTTTTTTGAAGTGGCCTCTTTCCCTTGCAGTCGAACGTGAATGACAGGCACAGTACGATGGGCTACCTGCAGAAGGCCTCAAAGGACCACGAGAAGGCACGGATCTTGTTCCAAAAGGAGAAGGCTGCTCCCAGCTCCGAGGGCTGGGGCCCCTCCTACGTCGAGGACGTGGTTGCCTCAGTAGAGCTCCAGTGCGATCGACGTGGCCATTGTGGTCCACGAGGAGGCCACGGCTCGGGGTTCCTGGGTCCATGATATGCAAGGCAAACCCGAGTTGATGCCGATCATCGACGGCAGGGGGCCCCGCAAGGCACGTCGGGACTTCGCGAAGCACCTCCCGAAGGGGCCCCCGATAGGCAAGCACGGGGTCAAGCTGGCGCTCACTATGCAGCGCAGGTGTCTCGGAGGCCACCTGGGCCCTGAAGTCTTCCACGGGCGCCGCCGACTTCGGAAGCGTCTGGGCATCCCCGGGGGGGCGTCTTCAATAACGCGGTCTTTAGTGTAAAGTGCAAGGTTCCGTGCGTGCGCAAGTCGCGTTCGTCGCGCCTGCTGCGCGCATCGTGCGCGCGGGCTGAGCTGGCGCGCGAGCGCGAGCAGCGCGCGCAGGTTGAACACCACTTCTTTCTCATATTTCGCGAAGCAGCCAGCCTGCGGTTCGATGGCAGGGCATCGCAGAACGTCCCTGGACATCATCTCGCGTTGCGCGTTGGACAACTCCTAGTGGCAGTAGTAGTCAGACTGAGACGCCTGCAATTGCTCCTTGGGCTGTTCGCCGCTGCTCCGCCCGTTCTTTTCCCCGCGCTTGATGGAGCCGCTCAGGTGACAGGCGCCTGGACCGAACGTGTGTGCCGGGACCTCTCGTGGTTATCCCGGCTGGTCTCCGTTCTTGGGACTGCGAGGCCTGGCGGGCCCCCTTGCCGGCGGTTCCGCGCGGCCAGAGACCCGGGGGCTAGCGGCTGCAGACGTATTTGTCGTCGAGCGGAGCAAACGAGCTTTGAGGTGGAGATGCCGCGCGCGGCGCGCTCCGAATGGCACGACGCGCTGCGTGATAGTTGCAGTCAATGTGGCCGGGGTCTTCCTTCCTTCGCGGCTGCTCCGCCACCCCTCCTTCGTCCGGGCATGTTTGGAGCGCGGGGCAATCTGGGAGACGAGGGCGGCGTGGGCCGCTCACCGAGCGAAGGCTCATCCGAGTCTCGATCCTGCGGGTCGCATCGCCCCGGGGGCGCGGCGCCGCGCATGTCTGCGCGACTTTCGCACGCGCTTGCGTTTGCTTAGGGACCTCAGGCACGGCTCCCGCCGGCGCCCAGCAAATTCGACGGCCGCGTTGAAATTCGACGGCCGCCAAAATTCTGCATGCCGCGTAATCGAAGTCGCTTCGGGGCCAGGGGTGCTATGAGGAGAAGGCTGCGCGTCCGCCTATGCCTTCTGCCGGGCACAGCCTGGAAGGGGCTGCGCGCGCCCGTGGTCTGCCGGTCGCGCTCAGGCCAATCCTTTCCCATCCCGTCTCCCAGGAAGCGGTGCCAGCCCCCCGGGGTCCCATGCATATACCCACGGCGACGTCTACGATACATGTGTTGTGTCTTTGTTCGGCGACCCGTGTGTTCTTTGATGTCGAATGGTGGATTGAGGATCTAGCGCAGGGCCTTGATATTCCAATGTGTGTGCTCCCCGTCACGCATGCATGTGCAGGCACAGTGTCCCGTTGCGCGTGCGCAGCTGTTCGACTGCTGATGTACGTATTCCTTGTGGCTCGTCTTGCATCGTGTTGTTTCGCCGATCCAGACTTTCCACAGTGCACATATGCTCCATCCTTGTCGCAGTCGCCCGGGGCTTTGTCATGTTTCGGTGAAGGCTTATAGGCTGCGTGTAACATTCTGCGTGACGGCATTTTCTCTGTACCGATGCGATTCCATACGGATGGTTTTTCGGAGCTGGACTCTGCCATGACAACCAGGCAACCAGCCAACCATGTCAGAGAAGGTTTCCAGGCAACCACATGCGTTGGCTGGCCAGCATCTCTGTGCAGAGTTCTTTCTGAGAGAGTGTTTGCAACGATTGGGTCAGCATGCGCCGGTCCCCCCTGTGCAACCAGCACCGCCTGACGACAGCCTTGCCCACGTGTACATGCCACTTGACCCTTATGGGCCGGTGGGGTTTCGAGCAGGCCAGGAACGCCTCCACCGCTGTCGTTTTGGTTTTCCTTGTTGCATGGTTGCTGTCATGGCCACCACGAGTCATCGTCTCCAGGGCTGGCCACAAGAGGAGGAGGAGGAGGAAAAGGAAACGGAAGGAAGTCTGAGAGAGGAGGCGGGACAGAGGAGGGAGGAGGGAGGAGGGAGGAGGGAGGAGGGAGGAGGGAGGAGGAGGAGGAGGGAGGAGGGAGGAGGGGGAGGGAGGAGGGGAGGGAGGAGGAGGAGGAGGAGAGGAGGAGGAGGAGGAGGAGGAGGAGGAGGAGGAGGAGGAGGAGGAGGAGGAGGAGGAGGAGGAGGAGGAGGAGGAGGAGGAGGAGGAGGAGGAGGAGGAGGAGGAGGAGGAGGAGGAGGAGGAGGAGGAGAGGAGGGAGGAGGAGGAGTAGGAGGAGGAGGAGGAGGAGGAGGAGGAGGAGGAGAGGAGGAGGAGGAGGAGGAGGAGGAGGAGGAGGAGGAGGAGGAGGAGGAGGAGGAGGGAGGAGGAGGAAGTGGAGGGGGAGGAGGAGGAGGAGGAGGGAGGAGGGAGGAGGAGGAGGAGGAGGAGGAGGAGGAGGAGGAGGAGGAGGAGGAGGAGGAGGGAGGAGGATAATAATGAGGAGGAGGAGGAGGAGGCGGAGGAGGAGAAAGAATGACGAGCAGGAGGAGGAGGGAGGAGGAGGAGGAGGAGGAGGAGGAGGAGGAGGAGGAGGAGGAGGAGGGAGGAGGAGGAGGAGGAGGAGGAGGAGGAGGAGGAGGAGGAGGAGGAGGAGGAGGAGGAGGAGGAGGAGGAGGAGGAGGAGGAGGAGGAGGAGGAGGAGGAGGAGGAGGAGAGGGCCTCCCTTCCCCCCTGCCATCCCGGATCGCCTCCCGAGATCCCCCCCTCCCCCCTCTACCACACATCAGAGGCTCCTGCTCGCCGCCGCGGCAATCGCAGCGCCGCGCCCCTCGCTGGCCAGCCGGCTGGCCACGCAGTCGCGGGGGGTCCGCACCAAGGCGCCCGCTCCTTGTGTGTGGGGGGGCACCTCGCTGGCCTCGCTGCCGCCGCCCGTCGTCCCTGACATCCTCGCGCTTGTTGCAAAAAAACCACGACGGGGGGAATGTTGGACAATGTTCGGCCTGTGGGCGTCCTCGCCGGGCCCTGGGGCCGTCGAGAAACGACTCCGGGAAAGCGGGCCCCCTTCGTTTTTGTTGGCTTGTATAGGCCCCCTGGAGGCGTTTGGCCGCCGCGGCTGCATCCGCATCGGACAGCGGAGGTCAGAATGGGCCCCCCCGGGGTGGTCCGGGGACCGCTTCTGGGCGGAATCGTCGTCGTCGCTGCCCCTCCGCCACCCCGCCCGAACGCCGGGCCCTGCTCGCCCGTCGAGGAGGTGGGCCCCGGACTCCTCCCTCCCTCTCCTCCCCTCTCCCCTCCGTCCGCTCCCTGCCCCCTCCCCTCTCACTGCTCCCTTCCTCCCTGCTTCCTCCCCCTCCCCTCCCTTCTCCTGTCGGTGTCCTTGTGCTTCAGGACCCCGAGACACTGCCTCCCAAGACCCCGACAGACGGCAAGGACCTCCAGGAATCCATTCGCCCACCCCACCCCACCCCGAAATGGCCACACAGAAGCCCTGCCATTGGACCTGTCAGCGGAACTGTCAGGTAGCTGAGTGACCCCGCAGAGACCCATGAGGGACCTGTCAGAGGTCTGTGCGGGGCCTGGCAAAGCTGGTTGGTAGAGGTTTGGCAGAAGGCTGGCACAGGACCTGCAGAGGGTTGGCAGAGGGGTTGGCAAAGTGCTGGCAAACGGCCGGCCGAGTGTTGGCAGAGGTGTGGCAGGAGGTGGGCAGACAGTTGGCAGGAAGGCCGCCCGCGGGCGTCCAGAGGTGATGGTCGCGTGCTCACCCGCCCCCGCAGTCGAGGCTTGTGCCTCGTTCCCAGTGCGTGCGCACGCGGGCCTGTCGCCGCACTTGGCCTCGGTCGGCAGAGGGGGTGGAAGGAAGGCGGCGTCACGGATGGCTGCCTGCGCGACTTCAGGGACAGGGCTCTGTCCCCTCCCCGCTTCCAGGCTCGGTGTCTCTCCCCCTCTCTCGGTCCTCGTCCTCTCCCTCTCCCTCTCCCTCTCTCTCTCCTCTCCCTCTCCCTCCCCTCTCTCGCTCCTCTCCCCTCTCTCGCTCCTCGTCCCCTCCCTCTCTCGCTGCTCGCCCTCCGCCTCCCTGTCCTCCCTCTCCCTCTCTCGCTCCCCCGCTCCACGTCCTTCTCCCGAGTGAGTTTGTGTAGGGGGTGCTCGAGGGTCATACTTGTTCTTTTCGTTTGCATGTGGTTGTCCCTGGTCTGTCCCAAGACTTCTGTAGCGATTCTCGGGCGAGGAGAAACCCTCAACCACCAGCTGAATCAGAAACCAGAAGGCGCGCATTGTGCCAGGGACATGAAGTGAACATGTGATCCAGAAATACAGTCGGCCCGGATTAGTAGGTCGACGCTGCCTGCTCAAGGGTACCGTTGCGTCCCGTGCCTCGCGACACGTGCCTTCTTGCACTCCTGTGGCAGTGTGGCCCTCGGAAGGGTCTTGTGTCCTCTCGCGTGTCCTGTCTCATGAAGGCCGACTGTACACCCGGCAGGCGCGGATAGGAGTGCAAGGCTGCTTCGGCTTCGAGAGCAGGTCAATTCAGAGCGTGAATTACCTACCCCGCTTTCGCTTCCAGGCAAAACCAAGTCATACCACGCGCCTCCCTGTCGAGCGGCCTGACCAGTGCGGGCCGTAGTCTGGCATCGCTTGGCATCTCTTGGAAGCGAGGGTGGTCAAAAGCGAGGTACTCCAGATTTCGTAATAAAAGGGAGGGGGTCTGGACCCTCCAAGACAAGCCATTTCAGACCTCCCCCGTGGGAGAACCCCCCAAGACATCGTCCCCAGACCCCCCCAGGCCCTCCAAGATAGCCTGGAAGAGACCCCCCCCGAAATGAGACCCCCCTCCCGTTACTACGAAAGCTGGAGCAGGTTTGTCTTCCCCCTGTCGGTGCAGACGCCCGCCGCCAGCGCCGAGCGTGTCTCCTCCCCTGAACGAATGATTGCAAAAAAAACCCTGGATTGCAAAAAAAAAAGGATTGCTAAAAAAACCCCAGGGGGGTTATTTTTTTTGCAATCCAGGGTTTTTTTTTTGCAATCCAGGGTTTTTTTTTGCAATCCTTCGGGCAGCGCAGCGAGCTACGGCCGGGAACTGTGGCTCGGCGTGTCGCGCCGCCGGCTCTGGCCCGCCACGCGGCGGCGCGGCGCGGCATCCGCGGCCGGGGGCCCCGGGCGTCGACGTCCCGAGCTGCATGCTCGAACAGACGACGCTCGGGAGCGGAAGAAGCACACGCAGACACGATTCATCGACGATCGCCAGGGAAATATGGGAAGGTGTGGGAAGTGGGGGGGAGACAAAAGCCCAGAACATGTATGGGAAAATAGGGGGAATCTTGTTGTTTGTGTGTATTTGTTTGTGTGTCCTGGGGCCCCTTTAAACGCCATAAACACAGACTTGTTTCGGGCCGGACGAAAGGGGGGGATTGGGAAAGGGGGGGTAACGAAAGCTGCTGCATGCAGCTGGTCTCGGCCCCGCCGATGGGGTCCATTCCTCGATACGCGGCCGCCTCTTGGCGCCGGGAGGCGCCGGGAAAATCAGCTAGGTGAGCTGATTCTGAAGCCCCCCTTTGCTAACCCCCCCTTTCGCCCGACCGACCCGATTGTTGTTGCGCTCCGTGCGGATTTCTTGGATCCGCGCTGGGCCCCCCGGCGGCGCCTCTGTTAGAGATCCGCGCGGAGCGCCAAAAGTTTCATCCTGTTTATGCAAGTGTCTTGTTTCTCTACGGAAGGAGAGGAAGGAGCAGGGGACGAGCGCAGCAACAGTTGCATGCTTCGAGACAGCCAGCACGCGTGCGACTCGAGACGGGTTCCCGCCAGCGAGCGCCCTTCGCTCCGACCGCATCACGGAGATGCGCGCGTGCACCTTTCCAGAGTGCGCGCGCCACTCCTGACAGCGAAGAAGAGCTGCGAGTGCGCGCCTGCCCGCGCATCAAACGAAACCGCCCGCCGCAGGTGTCCTCCAAGCATTTCGACTGCTCCGCTGGCCTCGCTGAGGCGGAGAGGGGATGGTCCGACGAGAAGCGGCGGCACTGTTGCGCGACCGAGAGCAGAGGCTGCGAGAGAGACTACGAATTCCATATTGTCGGCACCCGGTACGCGCCGGCCCCTGCACCAGCGGCCGCACCAACAACCTCCACGACCACCACAACGCCAGTTGAGCTCCCAGCCGTATCCATCATACTGGAGTTCAAGCACATGAGTTACGCCGCCGTTGAGGACTCCGCGGACGGCGAGGGAGGGGCGATGCGCCGGGAGATTGCCCGGGTCGTTCGCGACATCATCGGAGAGCAGTGTTCGCCAGACCTTTTTGACAACGTCATCGTGCCCAACGATACGAACCACTACGCCTACGAGAACAAGGATGGAGTTTCGCCAAGCTCCGCGAGGGCCCTTCGTTTTGAACATGCCAGCCAGCGTGGACCCCAAGCAGTGGGTTCTTGCAATCGAAGCAGTGCAATCTAGGTGCTGCCATCCATGTGGTGCAATCAAGGTGGTGCAATCCATGTGGTGCAATCTTTGTGGTGCAGAGCAATGCCAACACATGCAACATTATACCAATGAAAACAAAGAAACACAATGCAAAAGCAATGCGAAGCAATGCAACGCAAAGCAAAAGCAATGCATCGCAATGCAAAGCAAATCAATGCAACGCAATACGAAGCAGTGCAATGCGATGCAAAGCAATGCAAAGCAACAGAAAACAATTCAAAGCACTGCAAACCAATGCAAAACAACGATGCAATTCGAGTGCAAAGCATTTCAAAGTATTGCAATGCGACTGGAATGCAATGCCAAGCAATGCAATGCGATTGAAAAGTGGCGGCGGCGGCGACGAGCCTGCCCAGTAACCCTAGAACACATGTAGTAAACCCAACGTGCAAGCACTGTTTCGGGAAAACTGAGCAAGGTTTATGATGCGGGATGTATTGGGAGACAGGGCAAGGAACACCTGGCGTGATAGTAATCAGGATTTCTGGGTCGGAGAAATTCCAAGGACAAGGCTAGTGCATTGAAGACCTAGACGTTTTTGGCATTTCGGAACAAAGCAAATTATGAAGGGACAAATGTGTCGCATGCTACGGGACCGAACATGCTTTGGGTGTCTCAGTTGTTGTTGCGTGTGCCTTGTTACGCACTGCAGCGCATTACAGCGTATTCGTTAGCGTGGTTCGCTTAGCTTCGTTTCGTTCTGCTTACCAGCGCGGTGCCTTACATCGTTTTGTGTTGCATTGTTCCATGCGCTTCGTGGACCCGCGTTGGGCTTTTGAGGAGGCGGAGGAGGAGGAGGAGCGGAGTCTTTGCGGAGCAGTGGGAAACATTGAGATGGAGGAGGAGGAGGAGGAGGAGGAGGAGGAGGAGGAGGAGGAGGAGCGGAATCTTTGCGGAGCAGCGGGAAACATCACAGAACTTGGCCGAAGGTGCCAGTCTCAGCGGGCCCTCTCTGCACAGGAGAGAGAGAGAGAGAGAGAGATCAGACAGGGGGGCCCGTCTGCGCAGGAGGAGAGGCGCCGGGACCTCTGGGGCAAGGTTTCCGCTTGCAGACCGGGGAAGGCACGGGGGAGTGAAAGGTGAGAGGGATGGAGGTTGAGGATCGGGAGGCCGAGGAGGCAGCGGCGGAGGCGGGGGCCACGGCGGCGGCCGAGGCGGAGGCCGAGGCGGAGGCGCAGCGGCAGCGGCAGCGGGCGCGCCCCCCGCGCGCCCGCCGAGGAGCAGCACTTCGCGGACCTCGCGGCCCCGGGGCTCCTCCAGGCCCGCGCGTCCGCCTGGCGGAGGCAGTCCCTGCCGGCCGCCGCCGCCGCGGGAGCCACGGAGCACGAGCCCCTCCCAACCGCGCCGGCCGCGGCCCCGCCGCTGGCGCCCGTCTCGCCGGCGGAGGCGCCGGCGCTGTCGCCCATGTCGTCGCCCGTCAGCGCGCCCGCGGCCGCGCTGGCGCCGGCCATGGCGCCGGCGACGGCGCCCCCAGGAGTGGTGCCGCAGGCCTCCCGGAAGCTCCGACGTTTTTTTTTCATGATTTGTCTGGAATCCTCCTCCTCCTCCTCCTCCTCCTCCTCCTCCTCCTCCTCCCCCCCCTCCTCCCTGCTCCCTCCCCTCCTCCCTCCTCCCTCCTCCTCCTCCCTCCTCCCTCCTCCCTCCTCCTCCTCTCCTGCTCCTCCTCCTCCTGCTCCTCCTCCTCCATCCTCCCTCCTCCTCCTCCTCCTCCTCCTCCTCCTCCTCCTCCTCCTCCTCCTCCTCCCGGCGGTGCGTCTTCTCGGAAGGCTCACCTTGGAGAAGTTTTCGAAGCCTCCTCCGATGTGCAGGGAGGTTCTCAGAGGGCTGGAGGGCTTCTAGGAGGCCCCGTCGCCTTGTGAGAAGGCCTCGGCGCGTAATGGAGATCGGAAGCGGATCCAAGGCGAAAAGCTGCCCCCGAGGAAGTAGTCGAGACCTCCTCCCTGGGGCGAAGGAGGAGTGAGGACGTGGAGGGCGACGAGGGGGAGGAGGAGGAGGAGGAGGAGGAGGAGGAGGAGGAGGAGGAGGAGGAGGAGGAGGAGGAGGAAGAGAGGAGGAGGAGGAGGAGGAGGAGGAGGAGGAGGAGGAGGAGGAGGCGCCAGGAGAGGGGGAGGACGAGGACGAGGACGCGGGGTGGTGCCGCAGGCAACGTCGCCAGAGTCGGAGTCGGTGCCGCCGCCGCCGTTTGACTGCGCGGCGGGCCTCGACAAGTGGTTCGTGGGCTGGTCGGCGGACAAGATGAGCTGGTGCTGCGCCAACGAGGGCAAGGCAGGAAGAGAGGGCAGGAAGGGGGGCAGGACGAGAAGGAGGAAGAAGATGAGGAGGAGGAGGAGGAGGATTAGGAGGAGGAGGAGGAGGAGGAGGAGGAGGAGGGAGGAGGAGGAGGAGGAGGAGGAGAAGGAGGAGGGAATATGCCGTGAATTTCTTTCAGTTCCCCAGGAAGAGTCCAGAGCCCCCCTTGTGCCAGTCCCCCCCTGTCGTTACCCTTCGCATGGGAGCGCCGCCGCCTCAAAAAAGGCACCTCGCTGGACGCCTGGCCGCCGCCAAGGATCAGTTATACGCTCCCACACTTTCGGAGCTCCGTGTGGATTTTTCAGGGGGGTGCACGAAAGCTCGAAAGGTACTGGGAGATTTTAACATATTCCAGAATCAGTTTCATAAATGTACATTTTCGGAGGTCCACGCTGATTTCTTGCGTCGGCGCTGGGCCCCCCCTGGCGGTGCCTCTGGCGCCGCCCCTGGCACGCTCCGCCCGCCAGAAAGTGGGGTCCAGCGCCGATCCAAGAAATCCGCACGGACCTGAGTTATGTATGTTTGTGTTGTTTTTTCTATAAGGGCAGGTCGACACCGATTTTGGGCCACCGCGCGTTTCGGGGGCAACGTTAGGAGAAGATAGGCCGAGGTTCGGGGGGGATGCAACGATCCCCCAAAGCGCACTCATCGCCGATAGGCGTTCGATAGCCTAACAGCAGATAGCCCTCCCCGCCCAAGGACACATGCGGATGTGCTGTTCGGGACCTAGCGCCGCTTCCCCCCTTGAGCCACCCGCCCCTGCCCCCCCTCCTCCCCAATATTCCTCCCCGGGGGTCTGAGAGGCCTCCGGGGGGCCTCCTGGGGGCTTCCGAGGTGTCTTCGCGATCTCTGAGGTCGTCCTGGGCGTCTTGGCACCCAGCCCAGTGCATCTTCTCAGGCTCACATGAGACGTTCTAAAAAGGGCCTTGTCTTCAAGGATCAAAGGAGCTGTCATCTCTTCCTCGGCGGAAGGCAGCGGAAGGGCAGCGGAAGGTCGGCGAAAGTACGACAGGGCCGCCTCCGCCGGCGGAAGCCGGCGGAAGGGTGGCTGAAGGTGTCGCCCCCAAGAGATGACAGCATTTTTTGTTGCAGGGTTTCCGGAACACGCCACATGCACATACTAGACATGTGCATGTATGCCCCGGGCTCTCCAGCGAAACTAGGTCCCAGGGGCTCATTACGCCGCACAGGGAGATTGGACGAGGGAGAAGGAGGAGGAGGAGGAGGAGGGGGGTGGCCGAACGTGGAAGTAGTTCTAGTGGTAACACCGTCGGAAGAAGACGAAGCAGCAGCTGTTATAGTAAGCAGCCGCAGGCAGAGACTGAGTAGCAGAAGGGAGGGTATGAGGATGAGGAGCAGGAGGAAGGACATGAGAAGTGACGAGGAGGGGTGCAGGGAGAGAGGTAGATGGGGAGGGCAGATGGGGAGGAGGAGGAGGAGGAGGAGGAGGAGGAGGAGGAGGAGCAGGAGGAGGGGGGAGGAGGAGGAGGAGGCGGAGGAGAAGAAGGAGGAGGAGAAGGAGGAGGCAGCGCGTGCCATGCGAGGGATGCACGGCCACCACATCCTCGGCGTTCGATTGCGCCGCCGGCCTCGCCAATTGGGAGGCGGGCTGGAATTGGAATTATTTATCCTCCTCCTTGCTGTCGTTCTGTTCCTGCTCCTGCTGCTGCTGCTGATCCTCCTGCTCTTGCGCCTTCTGCTCATTCTGCCCCTCCCGATTCTCCTGCTCTTTCTCATTCGTATCCTCATCATTGGAGTCATCCTGCTCATGCTGCCCGTCTCGATCATTCGCCTTCTCGCCGTCCGCCAGTTCCTGCAGTCACTCTGTCTGCTCCTGGTGCCTCCTCCTCATCAGCAGCGCACCAGCATCAGCATCTGCACTATCAGCATCCTTATCATCACCACCATGATCAGCATCTTCTTCAGCATCAGCATCCTCAGCATCATGACCACCACCTTCATCATCATCATCATCATCATCATCATCATCATCATCATCATCATCATCATCATCATCATCATCATCATCCTAATCATCATCATCCTACTCATTATCAGAATCGTCGTCGTCAGCATCATCAAAATCATCGTCATCTTCAGCATCATCATTGTCATACTCATCTTCATCATCATCATTGCCATCATCATCAGCATCATCAGCAGCAGAACCATCATCATCAAAGAAATCAGTATCATTATCATCGTCGGTATGATCACCATGATTGTCATGATCATATCCATCATCACCATCGTGATCATCATCATCAGCGTCTCCATCATTATTATGATCCTCATCATTGACATAATCACCCCATCATCATCATCATCATCATCATCATAATCCACATCCCCATCATTAGCGTCATCATCATCATCATTACTGTCAGCAGCATCACCATAGTCATCGTTACCGCCGCCATCATGACCTTCAAAAGCACCACCACCATCATCACCACCACCACCGTCACCACCGTCTTCATCAGAAGCATCATTATCTCCACCATCACCATCATCTGTATGATCACCCTCAGCTTCGTCATCATCGTCATCATCATCACCATCTGTATCATCATCATCATCATCATCATCATCATCATCATCATCAGCATCACCATCACTATCACCATTACCATTACCATCACCATCACCATCGTCGTCATCATCATTGTCATCGTCATTGTCATCGTCATCATCACCAGCATTACCATCATCTGTTGCATCATCAACAGCATCATCGTCATCTTCAGCTTCAGCTTCAGCTCCACCATCGTCGTCATCATCATCATCAGCAGCATCAGCATGATCATCGTTTTCTTGCATGGGCCGCGCGCTCTTAGTTTGACCTGAGTAATTCCGAGTATTCAGATCTTTTCTCTTCTCTCCTCTTCCACATCCTCCTTGCTCGCCTTCTCCCTCTCCCCCGTGCGGGGGGGATTTCGGGAGGGGGCCAGGGAGAGAGGGAGAGGAGGGGACTGAGGGGATGGAGGATAAGCCGCCTGGCCCAGGCGGGCTGGTCGGCAGCGAAGAAGCAGTGGTGCTGCTCCAGCCAGTCGAAGGGCTGCTCAGGCACCGCCGCCGCCGCCGTCGCCGCTGCCGCCGTCGCCGTCGTCGTCCGGCGGAAGGGCGTGCCACGCCAGGTGTCTGCGTCCGCCCGGCCGCCGAGTGGGCGGCCGGACGGAGCCAACCCCAGCGGGTTCGTGGGACTCCGGCCCGTTCGGCCCGATCCCAGGGCCGCTCGGCCGCCGCACGGGCTTGGGCGCCGCATGGGCAGTAAGAGGGGAGCGCCCTGCCGTGCATCGAACAACAAAGCGGCAAACACAGAAGTTCTCGGAGGTCCGCGCAGATTGCTTGGATCGGCGCCAGCCCCCCCAGGCGTCGCGTCCAGCGCCGCCCCTGGCACATTCCGCACGCCAGAAAGTGGTGTCCAGCGCCGATCAAAGAAACCCGCGCGGACCGCAAGGAAATTCCAGACGCTTCGCGTAACCGCGCAAGCGGAAGTCGGCTTGGGTCGACGTCCTCGGGAACGTTCCTTCGTTCGCACCTGGACTTCGGGAACGTCCGCGCCATTTTGGCTGCGTTTGGTCTCTACGGTGCTACCTCAGGCCCGTCGGACCGCTGCATGCCCGTTCAGGGGCTGCCTCTGGCTCCTGGATTGCTTCGGCCTTGCCGCCCTGGACGCTGTCGTGAGCCGCCCGATCCGCGGCCCCGCGCGCGTTAGTTAATTTAGTCGCGTCCGCGGCCCGTTCGCGACCTCCCGCCGCTGGCGCTTCCGCCTGCGGCTGTTAAAAAAAAGAAGTAACCGCGCAAGCCTGCATCGTTGTGCCCCCGAAAAGCGTGATTCGGATACGATGTGAGCGCACAGGCTACCGGTTGGAGGCTGCTCAGCCTCGTGAGCGCACACCAGTGGTCTGCCTCTACTGGATGGCGCTCTGACGCGGATCAGCCACACCTCAGCTTCAGTGAGCCTTGGTGAGTCGGGTCTCCCTCGCCGCACCATCGTATGCTCGTGGAACTCCAGTGAGTCTGAGTTAGTTGCTCTCGCTCGCGCTCACCCCCCTTTTTCCGAGGTCTTGGACGGCCTGGCTCTGTGTGCACACACGTGCGTTCCGCCTGGTCGCTGGCCACTCGGACTCGCGGTCTGCCCGTGGCCTTTACAGTGCCTTGCTGTCCGTCTTGGCCTCGCTTCCGATTGCGGTTCGGCTGGAGCTTGGCGCCGCAAGGGCGACTTCTCCCCCCCGTTCCGTTGCCGGTTGCCGCGTTTTTTGCTTCCCCACCAGCCGGGCTGCCTGGGCCGGTCACCAGCAGACGCCGAAATGCGTCTCAATGAGGGGCATTTTGTCCCTGGCATGTGCATGCGCCACTGCGTGTGTTGTCCGCTGGAGTCTGCGGCAATCTCGCGCCAATTATCTACGCACTGCGCCCCGGACCTTGTGCCCGCTCCATGTCCCTCGCCTTGGAGCCGCGAACCAAAAAAGTAACCGCACAAACCCATCCAGAAACGATGCCCAGAACAGTTGCCTTGATCAGGGATGTGAAGGAGCATGTGTTGTAATGAAGGGCTGGGTAAGGCATCATACCCCAAGATGGGGTGGAGGAATCGGAGGAGGAGGAGGAGGAGGAGGAGGAGGAGGAGGAGGAGGAGGAGGAGGAGGAGGAGGGGAGGAGGAGGAGGTGGAGGAGGAGGAGGGAGGAGGAGGAGGGAGACGGGAGGAGG